CTCGCCCCCCATCCCCCGCCCCCTGCGCCGGCCGCGTCCCAGGCCGGGGGCCGGGCTCCCTCTGCCGGCCACTCGCCGACTGTGCGCCGCTCCTGCCGCTCCGCACCTCGGGCCTGGGCTCTGGAGCCGGCGAAGCTCAGCCCAGCAGCCTGGATCCCCGACTCCCTCTCCGGGCGCCACGGTGGAAACGCATCCCCTTTGAACACTTCTGGGTGGTGGGCTGGGAAGATGGGCGCTGCCTGCCCCTCTGTCCCGAGGAGGAGGGTTTGGAGTGTCCCCTGCCACAACACAGCGGACCCCGGATTCTTTCTCATCTCTGCCTTCTGAACCTCAGAGGAACAGTCTGTCCGTGTTAGGGCTGCTGACTAGGGTAGCAAAGACTGCCCTACAAGCTCTTCCTTATAATTCATCTAAGTCCCTCGCGGGTGTGTGTGTGGGGGGGGGTGGGGGGTGTAGGACAATAGGCTATGCCCTTTCCTGCCTCAGTTTCCCCTGAAAAACAGGGTTTGACTGGGGTCTCTGTGGGGGTCTCGCTGTGTCAGTCTCCCTGAGGCCGGTCCTTGCCCGCGACCCACGCCTGCAAGGACAGCGGCCTCCAGCCCCACGAGGCGGCATCTTCCCTCTTCCTCGTCACCCTGCTAGCAGGCGTCTTCAGCCCCCAATCCTAGCGGTGGGGGTGGGGAAGGGGTGGGAGAAGGGCAGTTACTCCTTCCACTCGCCCCTGGGTCTGCCGGCCACCGAGCACCCCCCTCCTTCCCAGTTCTTTCCTCTTCGAGCCTTGGGGCTCTCTGACGCCCTGGCCGAGCAGGCTGCCCACCGTGGGCACCGCGGGGAGGGGGTCTGGACTGCACCTCACCAGGGACACCAGGGATGGTGAGATGGAGGAAGGGTGAAGGTGGAGGTAGGATGGGCAGTTTGGGGGCCTCCAAACGCCCGGGCCGACACATTTGGAGGGAAAGAGAACCACATCCGTCCCAGGGAGGGAGCTGCCCCAGCCACGCTGCGTTAGGTGGGGGGTGAGAGGGGTGTCGTCCAGCGCACCAGTGGGAGGGCGCAGAAGACCCTGTCGCAGTCATCGGAGGGTGGGTTCCGGCTTCCCTGCCTCTGATCTGCAGGCGGGACAGAGAAGGGGCGGTCCAGGAACCGGGCGGGGACAGGGACGGCCCTTTCCCGGTTCAACTAGAATCCCTCGTGGACGGTGTGTTTATTCGAGGTCGCTTTGGGCTAAAACGCCTCTAAAGTTCGTCGAGCAGGGCGCGTTCGCTCCTTGCGGCTTCTCACTTGGAGCATGACTGGAGAGCGGGGAGTGGGTGCGGGTGCGCGGCGGCTGCGGACAGGGCCGCTGACAGCAGGGGGCAGCACCGGCCCGGGGCCGCAGCAGGGGGCAGCACCGCCAGACAAAGGCCAGGCCACTCCCAGGCCCAATTAAGTCCCTCACCCCCAGCCCCGGCCTCCCAGCCCTCATTGTCCCGGGGTCGCCAATTAGCCCAGGCGCCCCGCGTACCCGCCGCTCCGGTGCCCCAAGGCCTCCTTAACCCTTCAGGGCCTGGCACCAGGGGCCCTGGACGGCAGAAGCTGCCAGCCCAGGGGACGTGTGAGGAGGGCGTGTGTTGGGGTGATAGGGACCCAGGGGTCGCTGAGGCCTGTTGGTGACCTAGCACGTCGCTGTGGGACCCTGTGTGTCGGGAGTGTGGAGTCTGAGAGGGACGGTGCGTGTCGGTGTGGGACTGAGTGATTCACAGGAGACTGCGGTGTGGCTGTGGGGACTCCGCGAGGCCCCTAGCGCCCTCGCCGCTTGGATCCCGAGGCCTAGGGACCACATTTCTCCCTCGGTTAATCGGAGTCTTCCGAGCCCTCAAGCCATTCCTTCCCCTCTCGCCCGCCGCCGCCGCGGAGATGGCGCAGAACCGGCTCCTGCCGCCCAGAGCACCGCAAACTCCCACGCAGGGCACCTCTCGGGCCGGCGGGCGCCTTCAGCCTGGCGCTCCCCAGGACGCCCCACGTCAGCGCCCCGGCTCGAGGCCCCGACCCCCCACTTCCCGGGTGTAGGACGGCCCCTTGAGGGACCGAGGTTCTCACTCTGAGCCTGTCTTCCTCTGCTCCGGGAAGGACCCGAAGCCTAACCCCGCGTCCTCCTCCTCCTTCGCTGTCCTTGGCCTCAAAGTTCGGGCTCCAGCCGGACAGGCAGGGTCCGCCCAGGGGCCGAGCGCTCCGTGCTCTAGGGACCGGGCAGTGGCAGACGGGAGACAGACCCTTGCACGCTTGGGGACTGAGGCAAAGGGGAGGGAGCCCGAGCTCCTGGTCCCCCCTGGGCACTCTCCCGGGGTCGCCTTTGGGTCACCCTTCAGTGAATGGGTTGGTGCCTCTGTCCGAGTGGGCCTGGGACTGTTTTGCCCCTGGAGTTCCTTTTGGGCTCTCTGGAGGTGCAGATGTGCTCCCCTTCATTCGGTGGGGCCGGAGACCCCGAACCCACTCCCGAAGCACCAGGTCCGAGCAGACGGCCGCCGCTCTTCTCGGCCCCACCTCCTGGCACCGCCCGCCCCTCCCGGCCTGGAGTGAAGGCGGAGCTCGCCCATCCCGCGGGCAGTGGCAACTCCTCACGTGGCCACGAGATGGCGCTCCAAGCCAGGGGCCGGGCAGCGGCCGGATAGTCCGCGCGGGCTAGAGCCGGAGGTGGACAGAGGGACCCACAGTGATGGGCACGGAGACAGAGCCACGGACTGACATAGATCCAGGCCGAGAGATCGGCACAGGCAGCTGAGGATCGAGGGGCTCTGGCCGGGGGCTGCTGACATGGACCGGAGGGCCCGAAGCCCCGGCAGGGCCTTCTCTCCTCTTCGGGGTCGCCCGGCAGTGCCAACGCCCAGACATGCGACGCCCGGCTGCAAACACTGACCCTCGCGATCCCTCTCGGGTCTGGGAGGCAGTCTGACTCGGCCGCTCAGAAGCGGGACTTGGGATCCGAGGAGCCGGACGAACTGCTCTGGTCTGCGGGAGCGAGGGACCCACCCGACGGTGCCGGCTTGGGGTGGCGGGTGGCGGGGGGAGTGGGAAGTTTACAGTGATGGGCACGGAGACAGAGCCACGGACTGACATAGATCCAGGCCAAGAGATCGGCACAGGCAGCTGAGGATCGAGGGGCTCTGGCCGGGGGCTGCTGACATGGACCGGAGGGCCCGAAGCCCGGGCAGGGCCTTCTCTCCTCTTCGGGGTCGCCTGGCAGTGCCAACGCCCAGACATGCGACGCCCGGCTGCAAACACTGACCCTCGCGATCCCTCTCGGGTCTGGGAGGCAGTCTGACTCGGCCGCTCAGAAGCGGGACTTGGGATCCGAGGAGCCGGACGAACTGCTCTGGTCTGCGGGAGCGAGGGACCCACCCGACGGTGCCGGCTTGGGGTGGCGGGTGGCGGGGGGAGTGGGAAGTTGAGGCAGCTCCCGGATCGGCCGGGACTCAGGGCTCCTCCTGCGGAGAGGTCCGCCTCGGCTCCTACCTTCACCTCCTCACCAGCCCCACCCAGGTCTTCAGGGTCGAGCGCGGGGACGTGCAGGATGGGCCCTGGGAGCTGCTTACCTGGTGTCCTGTCTCCCTAGGTCCCGTGTGCCAGAGTCCAGGGGAGGCTTTGGGTCTGACTTATTCCAGAGGAAGGTGGTGGGGAATGCGGAGGGCACAGGGGTCAGTCAGCCTGAGAACCTCTACTCCGGATTAAAAACCACCATGGTTCTCAGTCAGGTTTGAATGGGGGTAGGGGGATATGTGAGGCCCCCCACATATCCCTTGGAGTAGATGGATTGGAGTAGGGGGCGGCGTTTGGAAGCCTGATTCCAGCAGACCCTTAATGTCCCCAGAGGAGCTCTGGCACCCTTGGAGATTA